CTGCGAGGAAGACAAAAAACAAAAACATAAAAGTCGAGGTTCGGTTTCATTACAAAGACGTATCCATGGAAACAAGCAAAGGGATGCGCCCCTAACCAAAAAGTTACATACAGCAGCTTTAAATTTGTACTATGTAACTCTGTCTGGAGTCCAGGACTAAACCAGGACCAAACCAGGACCAAACCAGAACCAAACCACATCTAAGTCAAGACTAAACAAGGACGAAATCAGGACTAAACCAGATCTAAATTAGGACTAAACCAAGACTAAATCAGGACTAACCCAGGACTAAACCAGGATTAAGCCAGGACTAAATCAGGTCTAAACCAGGACTAAATCAGGACTAAACCAGGACCCAAACCAGGCAGGACTAAACCACATCTAAGTCAAGGACTAAACAAGGACTAAATCAGGACTAAATCACTAAATTCAGGACTAAACCAATCAGGACTAAACCAGGACTACCAGGTCTAAACCAGGACTAAACCAGGACTAAACCAGGACTAAATCAGGACTAAACCAGGACTAAACCAGGACTAAATCAGGACTAAACCAGGACTAAACCAGGATTAAGCTAGGACTAAATCAGGTCTAAACCAGGTCTAAATCAGGTCTAAACCAGGACTAAATCAGGACTAAATCAGGTCTAAACCAGGACTAAACCAGGTCTAAACCAGGACTAAATCAGGACTAAACCAGAACTAAACCAGGTCTAAACCAGGACTAAATCAGGACTAAACCAAACTAAACCCAGGACTAAACCAGGACTAAACCAGGTCTAAACCAGGACTAAATCAGGTCTAAACCAGAACTAAACCAGGGACTAAACCAGGACTAAATCAGGACTAAACCAGGACTAAACCCAGGACTAAACCAAGGACTAAACCAGGACTAAACCAGGACTAAACAGGACTAAACCAGGTCTAAACCAGGACTAAATCAGGACTAAACAGGAACTAAACCAGGACTAACCAGGACTAAACTAAAACCAGGACTAAACCAGGACTAAACCAGGAAACCAGGACTAAACCAGGCCTAAACCAGGACTAAACCAGGTCTAAACCAGGACTAAATCAGGACCAAACCAGATCTAAACCAGGACTAAACCAGGACTAAACCAGGACCAAACCAGGACAAAATCAGCACCAAACCAGGACTAAACTAGATCTAAACCAGGTCTAAACCAAGACAAAACCAGGAAAAAACAGGTCAAAACCAAGACTAAATCAGGACTAAACCAGGTCTAAACCAAGTCTAAACCAAAACTAAACCAGGCCAAAACCAGAACCACACCAGATCTAAACCAGGTCTAAACCAAAACTAAACTAGACCTAAACCAGGACGAAACCAAGACCAAACCAGGACTAAATCAGGACCAAATCAGGAATAACTAGGACTGAATTGAGACTAAAATAGGACTAAATCAGATCTAAACCAGGTCTAAACAAAAACTAAACCAGAAGTAAGCCAAAATTAAACCAAAACCAAACCAAGACTAAACCAGGACTAAAACCTTCATTCGCACTATGTCTGAGGTTTTACCATCACGGTGTAAATGTTCCACGGAGGCAGCAGCTGACCAGGCCAAAGTACAGACCGGATCTGTGGAAACGTGACCCTGATCGCAGTAAAATGTCTATTTTCGCTTTAAAAACACCCACCGAACACCATGAATCACTCCCTACATCAGAGCGGCGAAAGGCGAGTGCACGATCAGTCAGAGCGCCGATTCTAACACAAAATATCCACTGTTCCCCCACAGCAAAATAATGCAACTGCAAATGAAAATTGTCCGTTAATAAGAACGTTTTTTCCATAGTCTGTATAAAAATGAAGCTCAGCGAGGCCAGCAGTTATAGGAGCGAAATTGGAGCCAGTTCCATTAGATTTAAGAATTTATTGAATGACAAAAGAGCAAAATAAAAGCACCAGGGTCACGTAGAGCAGGTTAATACGAACATTTAAGACCAAAAACATGACGAGGCTCACACCAGCAGTTACAGAGAGAGGGGTGACCATTTTTTCAGTTTAAAGTCAATTGGAGCCAGAGTGGATGGAGACGAAAACAAGCCCACGTTCTATTTGGAACACGGAGGGTTAGCTCTGTTCATTTATATAAACAGTTTTTGGTTATTTCGGAGCATCTACATATCTTCATATCTCTTAAACCGTAGACTTTTAATGGAAGTGATAAACGACCCATATATTTTGTGATCTACTGTGTTTTTTGGACTATAAGTCGCACTTTTTTTCACGGTTTGGGTGTTTCCTGCAAATTATACTCCAGTGAGACTTACATATTAACATTTTCACACTGAAGTCGCAAGAGGCTCTAGTCTTGTGTGTCTGTTGCTCCTGTATCACTGTCACTTGGCTCTACTGCGCATGTCTCCTGCAGAAAGAGCCTCTGTCCTGTCTGTATCATGTCAGTCGATCGCACCAGTTACTTCTGTACCACTGAAAATTAAAAAATTTAAACAAACTTATAAAGACGACTGAGAAGACTGAACACAAATGCCCCCAAAAAGAAAATCATATTTTGCAGATTACAAGCTGTATGTAGCAAAATTTGCAGCCAAAAACATTAATCGAGCAGCAGGAAGAAAGTTTGGAGTGAGAGAGAAAGTTGTGACACCGGGAGGATGCACCGTGAAACTTTCCTGGAAGTCACTGGATGGATGGACAAAGCCTGGACTTCAGTGACACCGAAACCATCCTGTCTGGATTCAGAAAGGCCCGAATAATTCTAACTGGAACTGATGCCGAGTCTGACGACAGCGACACAGTAGAGGAAGCGACGCTCTGTTTACCTCTGGAGGTCGCGGAGTTGCTCAGAAGTGACACCGAGGATGAAGAATTGAATGGATTTAGTGATTTGGAGTGAGATGGAGAGTTTGTTAAACTTGTTCTGTTCTGTTGTTTATGTTATAGTTTATCTGAAGAACTGTTCATATGTGACGTTAACAGTCTGTTGTTCTCTGTTCTATTGTTATTACTAGAACTTGCCTTTCAAGATGAAATGTCGGCTCCTGGTCTCTGATTTGATAAATTAAATTTCCCCCAAAAATTGCTAGTCCGGTGCTACTCATATATGTTTTTTTTTCTTCTTTATTACGCATTTTTTGGCTGGTGTCCAGAGCAACTTATAGTCTGAAAAATACGGTATAATGTTGTTACCTCATCAAAAACAGACCTAGAGTTGTGTTTTGTTTCATTCACACATGTTTAACACACAAACCCTGCATATTTAGGCTGAGTTCTTCTCTCAAAATAACATGTGGTAATACAGGAAGTGCTCCCATGTTTTTGAAACTCTATACACTTTCACTAGAATCATTTTTAGATAATTATATACCCTTATACCACTTCATGACATCACGAGGTGGAACAGAGCACTGTGAGTTTTGGAGATGCAGCAAACAGACAAATAATGAAACAAAACACAACTCCGGGTCTGTTTTTGACAAAGTAACAACTTTATAACTCGCCTTAAAGCTCACAAGAGTCGATTTTTGAGTAATTTAGGACCTTTCGTTCCTCTGGCAAAGCAACTCGTCTCACTCTTGGCATCGGAAACCGTAAAGTTACGCCTTTAACGGAACGGCTAATTGTCAGTACGCTCTTGCCCCGTTGCAGACACCTACACAGAATCCCATTATTTATACAAAACGTTAAAAGGTGAGAGTCATTAGAGAAAAAACAATATTAAAATTTCCATTGTAAGTCGGAAAGTCAAGCTGCTGTCTGCTCCCCTCACGAGTATTCAGCCTAATTAATTTCAAAGGTGCTCCGTGTTCTGTTTTAATACTCGCCCAAAGAACTTCTCACCTTGGTCGCCTCAGACACCTCTGCTGCCGGAGATAAAGCAGATTTTTCTCTTTAAAAATAATTTTGTTGTTGCGGGGAATATAAAAAAGGTAAATGAGATTCTGAGAAGAGCTTTGCAAACAGAGGTAAACACAGGAGAGGAACAAAGACGAAAGCAAAACAACTTATTAGTGCCTAAGCTGGCTCCTGCCCGAAACGCGATCAAAGAAGGGACACTGGCACCACTTGGCTTCGGATTAACACGAGGGTTTGAGGGTTTTTATTATACCCACAAATAAAAACGTGGATTTAGCTTTTCTCCAAATTTAGTTGATATTACCTGGGACAAGACTATATCAAAACGTTACGTAAGGTATCTTAGACTTACATGAACTTTAAAGACGGGATATTATATTTTATGGGTTTTATATACACATGTTTAGATCTGCGTGTTTCGATTTATTTTTATTATTTATAGTGGGAAAAAAGTGGGGAAAAAAAAGCAAAGTAAACTCAGATCATAGTCCTGCACGGGTCCATTTTTGGAGACCTGCACCTGCCCGTTAACCCGTGATTATATCAAAGGACCTGTTAACATTCCGCCCGTTACCCGCCGGATGAATCCGGGTCAGAGCATCAGTCTGACAGCCCAATAGTCCAGGACTAAACTAGGACTAAACCAGGACTGAACCTACGCCATGTCATTAGCGGATTAAATAAATATACACATGCCGCAACCGCAGAGCTGATAGCCAGGACTGGACCAGGACTACACCAGGACTGGACCAGGACTGGACCAGGACTGGACCAGGACTGGACCAGGACTACACCAGGACTGGACCAGGACTACCAGGACTGGACCAGGACTGGACCAGGACTACCAGGACTGGACAGGACTACAGGACTGGACCAGGACTACACCAGGACTGGACCAGGACTACACCAGGACTACACCAGGACTGGACCAGGACTACACCAGGACTGGACCAGGACTACACCAGGACTGGACCAGGACTGGACCAGGACTACACCAGGACTGGACCAGGACTACACCAGGACTGGACCAGGACTACACCAGGACTGGACCAGGACTACACCAGGACTGGACCAGGACTACACCAGGACTGGACCAGGACTGGACCAGGGGACCAGGACTGGACCAGGACTGGACCAGGACTACACCAGGACTACAC